CTTTTTCTTGCCGACAAAAAGACAAAGCTTTATCTGTTAAAACTTTCAAACCGAACTTCGTCACCTTCTTCGTGTATTTCGGGTACAGCTTGCTTGATTAATTGTGAAATCTCTTTGTTTGTTACGGCAGCAAACCGGGAAGGCATTTTGCTCGCAAGGTACGCGAGTTTGGCGTCGCTCGCTCCGAGGAACTGGAGGTGAATTAGTGAATAGTGCAGGATATTCACTGGTTGAGTAACCAATCAGAGCGCGCGAAAAACACTATCCACTGTTTTAGTATATACTAAAGGATTTTATCAGCTTGAAAATCTGTGAATAACGAAAAGAAGCAAGGCTGAAATCTAATTGCCAATATTTCTATGGTAACGGTCTTTCCTCTTCAGGGTCCTACAAAGCCCCCCAAATCTAAGCCCTCGCCGTAAATTTATCAGTCCTCCGCCCCCAGTAATTAATTCCGGACCACTCCCTTAACTTTTGTGGTCAGTTTATTTTCAGTCAACGTTTTCTCGACGTTGAACGACACGTAAAAATAGGAGTTTTCTGCAAATAAAACAAGCCCACTCGAAAACAAAACAGAAGACTGGTTTTTGCGACAGAGATTAAATTACCGGGTATATGCAGTCCTTCAGGCACTTTGTCCACAATGTTTTGCTTAATATATAGATTTAGCCACGGCTAAAAGCGAAGCTCCCATTGATAAAGTTATAACTTAAATCAAACAGTAAACTTGTATTCCACAAATTAGTTAACTCAAGGGCACATTCATGTGACTTTTGTGGGAAAAGCTAAGTGATTTTGCAGTGAAACAAATCTAGCATCGAGTTGATATAGCCTTATATGTACACCCAAAAAATAGTCTTCGTTCATATTTAAGAGCAATAATGGCTCTTGATCACAGTAGATAAGGCGTGGAAAACAAAGCAGGCCGAATTTTTTGCATTCGACAAGTTTACTTTACAAATTCTTGCCAATAAATCTGGGTGCGTGCAAACCAACCTTTTGTTTTTTTCTTATATACCACATCTGAGGAGAAAGAGTACTGTGAGGCGCTGTTTTTATCATACAGACCTCTACAAAATGCAGTATTTCACAATTTTTCAAGACAAATTGCATTCATTCAGTATTCAGGACCATTGAAGCACGCGTGGACCTTTAGTGAAACAGTTAAAAAAATTTCCAAAATCACCTATACGGCCAGCCGGTTCTAACTTTTGACAAGCGCCAAATTTGCGCAGAAATTTTAAGAGTTACGCTTCAATGTGATAGAGAATTTATGAGTTCTACTTTTAATAATGGTTTTATAACGATGTGTAATCTTCAAAAGCGTTTGACACGCTCGGCATTTTGAGTACTCCTGCAAGCGATGTTTAACAAACGCAAAAGCGATAAAATTGCACTTTTGAGACTACCAACAATCAATAAAGAAATATAATTCGGTAGAAAATTTACAGAAACAACAATTTTCATTCACGAAAACAAATGAGAATTTAGGTGTCTCTAAGAATCCTCAAGTCTTTTATAAGCTTAAAGATTAAGTTTATAATGTTTTAAGCCGCCGGTTTCCCGGTGTTTGCTGTTTTCAAAGATGAACTCTCGACAAGAAAATCGCTCAAAGCTTTCTTTCTACAGCCAATTAACACTAAATATTCCTCGGAAAGTTTTTTCTTTCTATTTACGGTGAATTCATATCGACCAAAGGCTTTTTAAAGTTCTGTAAACTCATATCAAACCTCATACTAGGTCAGATCAGTGTCGCAGTCAAATCTTAATACAAACGTGCATAAACTAGCTTCATAAACTGCGCCCGACTTCATGAAATTAGATATAAATACAATAATTATTGAGGCTTATCATATTTCGAGATGCAGCTCCTGAAAGCTATCAAGTAAGGCAAAGATTGCTTGAGCCTTTATAATTCTCGTACGCATCCAGCAAGGTGAAAAACAAAAACGATGCCATCCGAAATCGGATAATAGGCTTTGACAAGCGATGCATTTCTCAACCAAAAACCCAATAAACAAACCAGCCATGAGTAAGAGAAGACTCTTGATAGCAGCTGTATTTCCTTTTGTACATTCAGTGGAAAAAGACAGTCAAAAACATCACAAGTTGACTCAAAACTCTGTCAGCTTCACCTGTCAAAGTAAACAACTTTCAAGATATGCTGCATAAATTTTACGCATGAACTCACCTGTCAAATTTTAACCAATCAGAGCATAAAATTGGACGTGGAGCGTGACCAACACGTGACCGTGGTAAGAAAAGGTCTTCCCCGCCTGCATTTTAAAAAAACTGGCTGAATTCTTGCGTCTGAGGTCAGTTTGAAATCAAAACCGTAATAGTGCTGGGCGATAGTGACATAAACACAATATATTTGATATGAATTTAAAAAACTGAGCCTGCGATCATTTGAAAACGAGTAAATTGTCAGCGGATAACTTCAAAAAATACTCGTCGTTGATGGGTCGAAACCTGAGCCCGCGATACGGTCAGGTGATACTGGTCAGCGGATACCCTGTCTTGACAGCTGTCAATTGACCACAACATTGATGCGCAATCAGCTCTCTCTTGGGCTCCCAAAGTGGCTAGAAAGTGTGAGAGTAAACATTGGTATGCCCGTGGTGCGGACCGACGGTCGGTCGCTCGATCGGTCGGTCACGTGATTACCAAATTTTCTGGGATGGGTAGATTTATTTACCCCTGGTGCTCCGCTGGCGCGCTTCGCGCGGAGCTCCGCTAAAATTTACACCCCCCAATAAAAAAGGCAGCTTACTTGCAGTGAAATGAAAAAGAAAAAAATGAAGAAATAGATCCATGGAAGTACTTTGTTCTCTCTCTGGTATATAAAGTGTACCTTAAAACAATTTTTAACTATTTTATGGTACATGATTCTCAGTATTTCCCCTGTAGAGATGAAGTTGTTCGTAGGGCGAACCAAACATAAGTGCCTACAAGATAAACGTTCGTGGTACGACATCTTCACTCGTTGATATTAAAGCTCATTTGTCCTCTGCACTCTCTCCATTGTTTTCAGATATATGATAAATGAAAGGGGAAGTGCCTGACCAGTGTAAAGTCTCGGATAAAAGAAAACCAATGTCAAAAGACAGTACGTGTCACAATGTTCGGTCCTCGACCTATGACCCCAGTGAGCTCAAATTTTGCAAAACAGATAAGGAAAACCTTACATAAAAGCAAGTGACATTTGTTTTTATTGAAAAAGGGTAAAATATAACACTTCTTTAAATATCAAGGTAGAAGCCTAACGCAAAAGGTTAAGAAAAGAGCCAAAAAACTAAGAGGTCGAGACGACACGAGCGATAAGATGTGTCTCGTTAGATTGCGTGACTTGTGTTAGAGACTGTTGTCTGAAAACGAGAACAAATTGTCGATCACGGTCCTCTTTTTCTGAATTACAAGAGAAACATACTATTATCAAAGTAAAATTCAGATTTAGTGCTTTGACTCCGGTAGGATATTCAAGGTAAAATGTATTATTTGGAAACCCCACGGTAGAATCATCAATCAATCACTCTTTTTATTTGGCCTTTCACATACTTATTACTGAATAATATAAGATAATATAATACCTGGGCAGGACCTCTCAGGAAACCCTTTTGGGCTTTAGGAGGAAAACCGCTGAACAAGTTTACTACAGTGATTTATTTTAAAGATTATGAAAAGGACAAAGCTGTGTTACGAGGATTATAGTAATTGGCGAACTTACTTAGAATAATATTTATGTAAATACGTTAGTATAGTGAAATTCTGATTTTCTTGCTTGGGGAGAAAATGCGTTTTAATTTTTTTGCCTGATAAACTGAATGTCTTAATTTCTTTTATAGATTTTGGCAAGTTATTCTATATTGAAACTCCTTTGTCTTTCACTGAGTGTTTTTGGTAGTTAGTTCATGCTTAGATTTTGTGAACGTTAGAGGATGATCTTGTGTTGTATGATGAACATCTTTGTTCAGACAAAAGAAATCATTGAAAGATGATGGTAGATTGTTGTTGAAGTAACGAAACTTGAACAAAGCAATGGCTCCATTGTTTATATCATCTAAAGGTGAAATCAATAGATCTTTGAAGAGAGGACAAGTGTGTTCTTTAAAGTTTGAAAAAGTAATGATCATTATTATTTTCTTTTGTAGCCTTCTTGTTGGTTCTAGTGTTGTTGTGTAAGTATTTCCCCATACAATGTTACCATAACTTAGGTGTGGGTAGATAAGTGCATAATAGAGACCCCCCGTAACAACGCGAGGTAAATAATGTCTTGCTCGACAAAGCATACCAGAAAGTTTTGCAATTTTGCTGCAAACATCTGAAACATGACTTATATGATTTTTCCAGTCAATATTTTCGTCTATGAGTCTTTTTTACATTAAGGGACAATTTGTTAGCCTTTAACCAATCAGAAACATTCTTTAGTTCTTCATTAACAGTTTTTGTCAAACTATGAATATTGTTGTTTGAGCAGAACGAATGACCGTCGAATCATGTCATGCCAAAATCCGGGTGTATACATGTATACAGCACTGAAATCAGCTGTAACCTTATTAACGAGTCCTGATCTCTCTTGTTATTGGTCATTACACAATCAATATTACTGAGATATTCTTGAGTTTGTAAAAAGGACTGGGCAAGCCAAAACAGCTGCCAGGCTGCGCTAAGCCTGTTTTTGAAAACGAGAGTAAGTGCGTTGTCTCTGGATATGAAAATAATTTTACTTGTGCAAATGTAACTAATTTTCATATGAAAGGTTTGCACTTTTAAAGCGAGGATTTCCAAGCTCCGAAATGCCCTAGGAGGATTTGTACTCTGCAATTTCTTGGGCATATCAAACTGCAAAGTTGACCTTAATGAAAGAACTAGGGCGTATGCCGGGACCAACACATGCTGACATAAGGGCTATTTATTTCCTTAGGTTTCAGTATAACAGAATACAAGCTGTGAGAAATGTGTAAAAGTTGAACTATGAATAGTAGACGTTTTATACTATCTCATTTAGAGCCGCTTGGACCTCCAGTGTGGTAGCTATTTTTGATGACAGTCTCACAGGAACGGGGGCTAAATTCTACCATCATTGTTTCGTCTAAATGGATGTCGTCCATGCGTATTTCATACGGTATGTCATCTGCGCCGAAGCCTCGGTTCTTGAACATTACTTCGTTCACTAAAAAGTAAAATCAGTTTGTTACACACACACTTTTGCTTGAGATATTTTGTCGCTAGTGAAATGACAGACCGTCTGCTTTTGAAGATTGCATTGGGTGGGGGATAAACATGAGTTATAACTAATTTCATGCGTAAAGATTGCGTCTCTAATAACCTTTTAATCAATAACTAATTGCTTCTATTGAATGATTATGCATGCATTGCAATGTACTGTAGATATAAACGAAAGTAGCGCAGTAATAGAATTAGATATCATGCAGTTTACAAATATCGGTATACAGATAATATAATTCAATTGAAAATCTTACAATAAACAATTATTGAATTAGGTTTAGTATTACAGTCGACTCTCTCTTAACGGACACCTCTATAATACGGACGCCTCCCTACAACGGACGCCTAGGGTTGGTCCCTGCCTTTCTTTACTCCCTTTATTTGACTCTCTATAAGACGGACATATCTCTAAGACGGACACTTAGTGCTGGTCCCAAAGAAGCCGTCTTAGAGGGAGTTGACTGTATACGAGGAATTATGTAGATCGAGGAGGGTGTTATCAATTATCCACCGAGGCCGAGATCTGCATAATTTCTCATATCATACGAAAGCCAAGTTCAATACCGTAAAATTCCGAAAATAAGCCCCTCCATGTATAAGCCCCTCCAAGTATAAGCCCCAGGAACCGGTAACACAAAAAACCTCCGTTAAATCGCCTCTCCAAATATACCCCCCTCCCCCGGGGGCTTGTACTTGGAGAATTGCCCTCAACTACAAAGTAAATTTACTGCCAACTATAAGGCTAACCCAATCAATTTTGAAACGCAAATTTCCCTCTGTAGATAAGCCCCTCAAAAAGGGTCTTTGAAAAATATAAGCCCCCGGGCTTATTTTCGGAATTTCACGGTAATTCTTGTGTTATTCATTCAAAATATTTCTAAGTTCTTACCAACCCTATCTCCGTCTATACTTTCTTCAAAACATTTGCCTGTTCGTCGTACGGCTTCAGTACATAAACAGATGTTTTTTGTCGCAGATACTACTCAAAAAAGTAGATGACTTTCATCGACCAATATGTTTTTGTGTACTCTTGCATTTCTTCCCTTCAGATTTAGTCAGAATTTCGACTTTTTTGTCTACGGATAGCAATGAACACTTTGGTCACTTTGTTGAGTTCACTCCTGCCTGGAAACGATTCGCCATTTTATATTTGGGCAATATTATGTAACATCATTGGTGACCGCTGGCTAGTCACGAAATAATTTCAATTAATATAACTAAAAAGCTATCGAATTTGATGAAAAAAACTACAATGTAACTTGATATCGTAACATTAATTACGCTAGGGCCAAACCACCCCTCAAATCGGTCATTTAGGCTAAATTTACGTAACTTTTACATTTCTTTTCATTTCTTGACCAGTCGTGCCAGATAGAGTTCGATTGTTGACCAGTTAATTTTTTTTTTGGTTGACACAAAATGTCAAATTATGACGTCATAAGGGCTGACGTCACCAAAATTGGTTAAATGAATTTTTTAATTTCAAAGTCAAACTTAGGGCGCTTTCCATTTGTCAAAACTGGCCGCACGGACCATGGCCGGACAAGTCAGTTTAAAATGAAATAGGCTTTTTCCAAGCGTTTTTGCTGAAAAATGTTCTCCTTCGTGCATACTATTTAGGATTTGACTGATCTGGCTGGAGAGTTTTGATTAAAAGTGAGATTATTAGTGCGACGGGAATGGTCTGGCCGGTAAGTTCTGACAAATGAAAAGCGCCCTTATATCTACGCTGAAAACCGTTTCTCGCTACGACACGTAGAAATCGAGTTATGGGATTTTAATAAAGATATTTCAGTGCACCTGGAACCATATTTTTCCTTAAAAAACGAACCCTTTGATTTTGACATTTTAATGACGTCGCAAAACTGTTTTCTTGGTTTTTGTGCAGTTAGGAATTTCGTTTTTCAAAATTTTCTTTTTCCTTTAGCTTTCGAAGATAAAGATGTCTTATGTTTATATTAAATGGTAATGGTGACACGACAATGAAACGCTTAAATTAAGACTTATTTTACTTTGTAGTACAAATTTATCCAAATTGAAATGTCGTATCTCAGCTCATATATAAGATATTGCAAATTTTTTTCAGGTTTCATCTCTCCTTGAATAGCTCTTTTAAAATTGATATTAAAAAATGGAACGATTCTAAAGTTTACAATTTCAGTATGAATAACGTGCGCAATTGTAACGTCATATTTTGACATTTTGATGTCAAATTCATGCCAATTTGATTGGCTGGATATTTTGTACTTTCAGACCAAGTTTGGTAACGAAAGAGTTAGAGCCAACTAAGTTATTGTAAATTAACCAAAGAATTAACATCTGCAATGGCGTGCTTTGGAGCTGGACTTGATTAGATCTGTTTCCTGGAGTTAGTCTTAAAGGAGGGCGTGGTCACCTATACTCCACTATCAGATCTAAGATTGTAAGCACCTTTTGCCAAAAGTTAGACCAGCTCCCCGATATATTTGCCGCCGCTGCAAGGAAGTTTATTCCACCAGTTTAATACTTTTGTGGTGCCTAAGAAGTGGTAATTCAGTTTGAAGGAAAAAAAGAAATAGATTGGATTGAGAAACGAAACACAGAGATCTGTGCTTGGAATTCCACTGGCAGATGCCTCACGTGCATCAAAGAGGGAAAGAGAAAGTAATTTCTTCACCATTGGAAATTCCAAAGGAAAAGAGATTGCAAAGTGGAATTTAAAGATTTTAGATAATACCCCAATTTACAGTTACAGGTAAAAACGAGGCTTGAGTTGTCCTTGTTTTGATAAAACCCCTTTTGCTATGTGAGTCCTAAGCTTAATTTTTATAAGAATAGAATGGTGTCGTCGTCTTTTCGCTGTTCTTCAAGATTCATTATTTAATTCTCTGTGTCTCAGTATTCTAACAGTTCAAGTTAATTAGCAATCAAGCGTCGAAATCGGCTCGCCTCTTTCACCTCTACATTTCGAGGATTAATAGTGTGATTTACAGAATGATTCGCTGAAAAAGGAAAAACCTAAATATCTTGATAAGAAATTCGCTCAAAGGATGAAAAAACTCTTAGAACAAACTACTCATACTAGCGTGAATTATCTCCGGGTCTTCGTTTCTAAATCTGAATTCTTCTGTTCATGTCCACTGCTAGCTCAAACTGAATTTTTAAAACATAGCGCTTGAATGCAAAATACCCTTAGGGAATTTAAGGGACGCGTTGCTATCGGCAACGCGGATTTAATTTATAACAAAAGGGTTTTGTATCAAAACAAGGTCAGCCTCATCCTGACGTTTACTCATAGGCTAGGATACTTAGCCAACAACTGTAAAATGGTCTATTGAGATTTCTTATGTGACGATTGCACTTTTCTCAAGGCAAAAAGATAGACAAGACCAAATGGCAGTGATTTGGTCAGCAAATGAGTCTCCTATCTTTCAAGGCAATTATGGAGGGTGACCCTGAACAGGTCAGTTACCCCTCAGATATGTTCCATCAACAGATATTCCCTGAAGTAAAAAGATAAAAAGAGTAACAAGAAGAAGGCCCTAGCTGCCAAGAAGTTCATTAGTATCCGTCAAGAAGGTTTCTTTAGAAATGTATGACTAGAAACCAAAGCTGTTATGTGGAGATGAGATGAGCGAAATAGTGTGCGTATGAATTACTTACAACATTTTTAAACTCTTGCATGTCCATCGTATTCTACCCGGTTTTCAAGAAGTGGAATGAGGAGAGTACTGGGGCCTAAAAGCATAGTAAAAGAGCTTGAAATTTTGAAACAAGTTTCTGATGATGCGAGGCAACAGAATATAGAAAAAAGACATTATTCAACTTCAGCAACAATTTCAACCTTTATCCTACATATATTTTCCTGCCTTGCTTCATTTGACAGCAGGAAAAGGTTGCCAGTAATGGCAATAGAGACAGACAAGTAGGCGTTTCCCGGGCGTGATGTGTTTATGCTATTCGTGCTGCTCTGCTTATAAATGTCTTGCGGAATACAAAAATAGTATGATCATTCAAGCAAAAACTATAGACTGCCTAAATGATCCTCAAAGGAAGGATATTAGGAATATTTTTTATCTTTCGACGTTATCGATATTGCAACGAGCAAAGGTGGCGTAGTTATGGCAGCACACCATCCCAACTGCTACCCCAGTAATGTGACACAGGTTTGAAGCTCAGAGGGTGGGTCGAGTGTATTGTTGGTTGTCGCGGTTGCACTGGAAAGGTTTTCTCCTGGTATTCTACAGTTTACTTTACTCTCCAGTTTTTCGCTTTCGACTCAGCCCAATTTTATCTGGAGTGGTAGACCAAGAACCACGCTGTGGAATTGCGACCACCAAACCGTTATTTGTCTTAACTACAAATGTATTTACTTGTTATTTAACATCATGCACTTGGTATTCATGCCATTATTCAATCATTACTTTCTTTACCTGCACTTTCTGGGGCATCAAAATCTGTTTGTGTGCTTTTGCAGGTAAATGAGGTATGTCGTTCTTTAAGCACAGGGCTTGCGCACGTCAGGCTGTGACTATGAGCCCGCGGTCTGCCGGTAGCAGCAGCATGCATAGAGGAGGCTTGGAGGATTCCTTCTTCCTTCATAAGGAATTGGTAGATCTAAAGGTAAAGGTATTGGGGGTGTTTTAAAATGAAAAACGACGATTTTCATTCACGCTGCTGGTTATTTTTACAGAGCTTACAGTAAGACGTCACGGCATGGTAGAGGTAGTGGTGGTGGTGGTGGTGGTGGTGGTGGTGGTGGGGGCGGTGGTATTGGTGGCAGTGGCAGTGGTAGTGATGGTGAAGGTGGTGGTGGTGGAGGTGGTGGTAGTGGCGGTGGTGGTAGTGGCGGTGGTGGTAGAGGCGGTGGTAGTGGTGGTAGTAGAAGGGGTAGTAGAGGTCGGTGGTAATGGTGGTGGTGGTGGTGGTAGTGGTAGTGGTTGTGGTGGTGGCACTAGTAGTGGCAGTGGTGGTGGTAGTGGTACTGGTGGTGGTATTGGTAGTTAGTAATAGTAGTAGCAGCAGTAGCGGCAGTAGCAATAGCAGTACGAAGTATTAGCAGCGGCACAATTATGTTATGACTTACCTTTGGAACAAATACCAGTAACAGCGTAACTGTAGTACAAACAATAAGACAGAGCGAGGAAATGGCATAAGGAGCTTCGTAGTACATGGATCCATCCAGTGCAATGGCCACAATAGCACCGATAATGGACAACACAACAACATTATAAACAGACATCCCAATGTACTTGGAGTCATTTAAGGCAGGAATTGTGACATTGCGTGTCTCCCAGGCTAGGAAAAGCCCAAATAACAGAAGTATTCCTTTGTAGGCAAATAGGACTGCCAGAAAATAGGTCTTGTATTTGCAGGTGCACTGGTATAAAGCCGGAATGATGATAGTGTCTTGTTGCTTTCGGCTCTATGGATAAAAAATGACATGAAAGTAATCATGCTATAACATATTTGTTAGTTAAAGGTACGCCTATATGAATGAGTAGATGAGTGAATGAATGAATGAATGAATGAATGAATGAATGAATGAATGAAATAAATGGATGAAAACTTTTACTTAGGCAATGTCAGTCCATCAGGAATCAAAAAAAGAGAAAAAAACAACAACTATATAGTAAAAAATGTTTTCAGCCCCAAGCAGCCCTGAAAGCCCCAAGAGAGTTTGCCTGCCGTAGCTCAGTAGAAAGATTATCCATTCTAAGAAACTAGGAAACAAGAAAGAAACAACCCAATGGGAGCATTCAAAGCTGGAGCTTCACAAGCATATTGTACCCCTGCAAGAGTAAATAATGATAATATGACCTTCGAGTTTTTTTAAGCAGTTGAAGCTGTTAAACACCAAGGTTTTATCGTGATCAATAGTTCACGCGAGAAGTTAAAACGACTCAAAAGTTCCTACCAGTTCTTCGAATTTTAATTCTTCAGCTTGGAATGGGTCGATAATAATCCAGCAGGACAAGAAAATAACATCCACTGTTAACAATACTGCTACGATAGCAAGGAGATGAAGATCCTTTATAGCCTGTTATAATATAATAGAAAACAGTGTTTACGAAATTATTCCCGGTAAAGATTCATTCGATTAAGAACATCATAGAAGTTAGTATACATACTCTAAATCTTTAACTACATTTTATGCATTGGTGATTACTTTTAGCATTGGAATGTTAAAGAACCGTTCATGCTTCATTTCAGATTGCTGGGTTTTAATTATTTATCTCACCATATCATTCTACCCAATTGTAATTTGTCGAGGGACGCAAGTAAAGTATGTAGCCTCCCCGCGCATTCATTTCTCCCCCACGGACGTCGTCCGTGGGGAGAAATGAATGCGTGACAAACGAACCCCAAAGGACGTCTGCGGGGAGGCTAGTAAAGTATGTTACTGTAAGAGAAAAACAGTGCATAGAACACTAAAGCTAATATTTTTTATGAAATTTCCTAAATTAAACAAAAGGTCTACACAACGATAGCTAGGGTTTCTTTTGAGGTTACTTTACACTAGTTGAATGCTCGTATTCTAATCGTGGAGTATCCATCTTGAATTTTCATCCAATTCAAGGTCAAGAGGTCAAGGTCAAGAGGTCAAGGTCAAGAGAAGCCTTTATCTGCCGTATAATTTGCAAACACCTAGACCTAACTGCAATACAGAGTGGACCACATCGTACCATTTTCTTGAGAGTCTTGGCCGCTGTGAATATCTTGTGAACTCGCCATGTTTTGCTGAACATTGCACCGAAGGATAAGGAAAATCCGATAGACAGCACTGCAGCTCGTGCCTGTTGGTAAGAATCGAACTCATTTTATTAATAAATCCAAAACTTTACATTTTTTGGCTCATTTTCTTCCTTCAAAAATACGGGAAGGAATAGAATGGGTAGAAATATAACTGCTATCTTAAAGGCTGACCCCCTTTACTCGGGCCCGGACAAAGTTTTGAACGCACAAACACTTGTGAAATTGGATCTGCCTTTCGTTTACAAGGGACCTAAGGCAAGGTGGGCAACTTTTTTGACCTGACAGGAACGGTTCCGCTGTTACATGGACTCGTGTAAACACCTGAACTGTGCAAGTTTTTGCAAAGTTTGTGGGGTAGAAGCCGGGTATCAGTAAAACGCGGGACGAGGTCGGGGTCGGGTTCGGGGCCGGGGTTGGGGTCTGTCTTATATTCAAAGAATGCTGTTTTAGGGTTACGATTATGGTTAGGGTTAGGGTTGACACTAACCCTAACCCTAACCTAACCGTAACCCTAAAACTAAAACAACACTCTTTTAAACAAAATGATAGACCCCGGCCCCGACCCCACGTTTTACTGACAAGTCTGAAGCCTAGTTACGCGCCTTGATTAAAAAAAAAAGCCATTTCAATGCTGCCACCGGCAAAAATTTGTTTGAAAACTACTGTAACATGTACAGATTTGGCACGGTTCCGTGTAAACAGGTTGCACAGGGAAAAATTAGTCCGTTCAAAAATTTGTCCGGACCCGTGTTAAAACCTGTCTTATCGGGAATTCTACGTTTGCCGCCTCAGTACATTGTTTACCAAATGAAGGAAAGCTTTCTCTTGAAATGTTACAGCTATATTATGCGTCAGAAAAGGGTAAACTCTTGCTCAAGAAAATGCTCGTTAATAATTAATTTCCTTACGTTGCAGTTGATGCCATAACCTTGCAAATCGAGAAACCTCGCATCCAAACCCAACAAAACAATGGAGGCGTAGCACAGGATGCATCCCATAATAATAATATTGTTAAGTTTAGGCGACGACATCTTGATTATCCTGACAAAATGAAAATAAAAGATGTAAATTTGCAAAGAGCTCCAATATTTAATGCAAGTTGAGATTAGAGATCAGAAACAAATCAAAAAGGCTTTTACTTGAGAATATGTTTTGTATTGGAAAAGGTCAGAAACAGCAAGGTTAAAGTCCTACCTGTTTTTACCTTTACTGATGTTAAAATATAGAAAGCTCAACGAGCAGATGATGCCGATCGCTGCCATGAGCCACATTATGACGATAAGTGGTAAGGGACTCATCATCAGCTCAATTTTTCTGCTGGTGTGATCCTTCGGTGGTCGATTGTCTGAAGGAGAAATGCAAAAGATGAAATCAAAAAGAGTCGAAAGCCAAAGCCACGCAACCGCGTTTCTTGTAACATGGAACAATGGAGACTTTTACTCTGCTTTATTTGGCATTAAGTCTGCTTAGAACAATGCTTGAAATTAGAGAAATCTCACCGTAGCAGGCGTTCATAGCCCCAGCTCAAGCTGCAGGTCAGCAACTGATTATCCATAGATAAAGGTCGTTTCTAACAAAATTCGAGTAGTACTATATATGGGCACGCAACAGAAACGTCTTTGGCCAGTAACAATGTTATAAACTTAGTTGGAGAGAGCTTAAGCGACGTCTAGTAAGATCTAGTAAATCTGTCCCTCCCTAGAAAATGGCACATCTGATAGAATTCTCACAGTCCCAACCTTGCACAGACTACTATTGTTGCTCAGGATTACTTTCAGCACACACAGTCCGAAGATAAACTCCAAGTCACAAATGGCGGTCATTAAAGCTCTGCTCTTATGTTAGGTTTTTGAATCTTTAAAAACTGGCTTTGCCCAAATTTCCCTTGCTGCCCAAAAAATCTGAGTAGCCCTAAATTTGGGGGAGCCCATATGCTCATGCATTTCATCGTTGACTCTGAACGGACTGTGCCCTAAACTCATGTGTACATCTAACTGGAGAGACTGCAAAGAATACTGAACATCAGATGAGCAAATTATAGAATGTACTTAGAGTTGCAGATTGTTCAAGAAACTAAACAGGACACCAGACGACGTGGCAAGTGGAAGGCGCTTCAATAATAAAAAGGCACTCGAGGGAGTGTACACTATATCAGCTTCGGTTATTTCCAACAGAATCTACCGACATGTTAATCGATTATTCATAGACCTATTCGGCTGACTCAATGTTGTACCCAATTCAAACCCTTTGGGAATAAAACGTTTTGTTTCAGGAATTTCCATATCATTTAAATGTGAATGCCACATTACAATGCAAATAAAATACACAAAGAATCTTATCCCCGGGAGATTTGAATTGGGTACAACATTGAGTTAGCCGAATAGATCTATTAAATCACCAACGTCAATGTTATCATCGTCATCATTATCATTATTGTCATTACATCATCATTATCGTCATCATCATCAGTGACTGCAATTTCGATATTTTGATAAGACATTGAAGTGCAACGGAAACATTTATTACCTTCCCATATCTTATTTCGCTCAGATTCAAATAGATGGAGTTCGTCGGAGGAGGTGAAATGTTGACCAATCCTAGTTTCGTTTCCTAAAAAAGGACAACAAAAACCTTACATGTTATTCACATAACGAGCTGGCAATCAACTGAAACTTAAACTGAAACGACTATGATTATAAATATTACAATGAGAAAAAAAATATGTATCAAGAAACATTTTATAGAATTTTTTTTAAATGCACATAACAAGGTCTTCTCTCAACGTCCTGTAAGTTAATGTATTTTTTAATGTGCTTGTTATTTTGGGAGACAACTGCAAAATGGTGCGTTTCTTCATAACTCATCTTGTCGTTTTTAGAGGAAATTCTTCTTCCAAGCACTTTTTCTAAAAGAAACTATCATCCTTACAGAGCACCTTACCTTCTCTATTTTGATTAATAAGAACTGTTCCAACTCTTTCTCTGTTTTCATCAAAACCTACAGGCCCCTGTACAACAAAAAATACTAAATTTTATCTTAAAAGTACTGGAATCTTTAAGAAAAACTGAGGTATATTGTTATTTAAAAGTAGCTTTTGCCTGCACCCAAAACAATTTTTCTGTTTCTGTGTCTTAAAAGAAAGTGTAGCATAATGCTTATTGATAAAACGCTTAATTCAAAATCTGCCGTGTTATGTTAGATTATACTTACAGTTAATCCCGCGAAGTTTACGTGTTGAATACCACTTCTTATCGCTACAACTTGCTTGAGTTTTCGGTTTAAAAGCTTCTCATATTTCATCCCTTTAGCAAAAGCGGAATCCAGTGCCATGGCTACTACCCATGCTGAATCGAAGGCGTACGCAGAGTCCTTTCTCAGATTGTTTTTCTTGTTCAGTTGCCTCATCTGCCACCAGAATCTTTCAGACGTCTTAAGAAACATGAAAAAGTAACGTTAATGTGACAATGATAACGACAACAACATGAAAAAAAAAATGGCGTCCCAGAACTGGTGTTTTATTAGGAAAGTTCTGTTTTTTTGAATGCAAAGAAAGTTAGAACTTGAAAAGGTAGTCTTCTTAATAACATCTCACCGTCCTTTGAGCGAAAAGCGGTGCCAACAAAGAAACACTGCATTTATGTAACATGATGGTGTTCGTACCTGCAGAATTCACCCTTCAAAGCTACGGTGCCGCAAAGCAAGGGAAACGTTTGCGCAATAGTTAATGTCCTCTATCAACGTACTAGTCAACCTACCAAGCCGGATATGGTTTGGTTATTGTCCTTACGGATGTCCAGCTTGATGGTGGAAATGTAACCATTCGCTGCCTCCTTTAGATCGTTACTTGAACAATCAATTAAAGCACTTTTTTGAAGTTTCAGGTCATCAGTGAAAATTTTTGTAGGGCTGAGTTCACCAAATATTATCCAAGCATAATTCGGTCCATACATCTTCCTTTTGAAGGCCTGCATTATCAAAATTTCATGAGTTGGAGTTATATGTAACACAGCTAAACGAAGGTTTTTGTTTGTCAGAAAAAAAGATAAAACATCATAGCTCTCTACTTTTTCATTTCATACCTTTAAAAGGTCTGAGAAGGACAAAACATAATAAATCGCAGGCATTAATGTGAGAAATCTTGTTTTAATAGTCACCTGGGTCAACTAGTCTGCGTTGCAGACAGTCTACTTCCCAGATTCGAGACTCAGATAGAGAACTCTAGTGACAAGTCCGTCTCGGCAACGCAGGCTAGAGTCAACGAGTCATGAGTCAAGTTATAAGTCAGGTCAGCATTGAACACTGAAACTAGAAATCAGGGTAAAGCATATTCTCTGCTTTGTTACATTACTTACTTCACAGAAAACGTTCCTTGCACCGACGTAGCTGAACTCTCCGATAATTATTCTAGCATCCAATCTCTAATTAAAACAGAAAAATACACCAGATTTGAGAAGAAGCTAAGAGGCAGTGGCAAGGTAGAGCCAGAAAATGCAAAAAATAACTGAAATGAATAATTGATGACTGGGAGTTAACCTTGAGTTTTTCCATCTGAAAACTGACATCGCCGAGCTCTTCAAAACCCTCAATTGCAATGATGCTAATGTTACTCTTCACAAGTTCGATCTTCAACTTATCCACTGTCTGTGCAAAAAACAAGCAAACAAAACAATAAATAAATCAATCAGTTAGTTAGTGAATGGGAGGATGTGGAGGGTTTATTTTGTCCAATCTTATGCGTCTAGTCTAAGTCTGCCTTGAGAGTTTTAGATTTTTAAAAGGAAAAAAAAGGAACGTAAGTCGGGATTATAATTATGAACTTGGGGCAGGACGATTTTACGAGGTAGGGTTCTCGGAAAAAAAACCTGTAAAGACCAGAGGTCCAGTGTGAGCTGCATGTAAGTCATACAAATCCAACACATTTTCCTCAAATATGCCGCGCAGTTGTTGGAACTAAATGTGTATCGTTTGCTGGGTCTCTGAAGATGAGACAATCGTCCCCCTGTAGAACCGTTGAAATGCCAATTCTACTTTCAAGCTACGCAGTTAAAAAGCAGTAGTGCAATCACTGTGGAAACTTAACGTTCACACTTCCAATCTAAATTTACGTAAAACATTAAAATAAAAAATAGTACTGTACAGGAGAAAAAAATTCTGGATCGTATTGGTGCAGTATGGCTACTCTCTTCCATCCAAAGTACTGTATGAAGGCAGCTTTTGCTTTGCTAAATGAAGCCGAGGACGGAGCTGCACGGTACGTGTTCGGATAGGTTCTCTTGCTTTCAAATTTTGGCGAACCTGATGCATAAGAAACCTGAAAGACGGGAAGAAGAAAATCTTAAATTTAACGCCTTTTTGCTTTTGCAAGACTGATTACCTGCAGAAACGACCGGAGCGTATCTCCATTCTTACCACATAAAATACGTCCATAACCTAACTAATGATTTATAAAGAATACGACAATGTACGGAGCGTCTCCACTCACACGAGCAGCATCTATGCAAATTTACTGGAATTACAAAAGAATGCGCTTGCGAGAGAAGAGGAGTCAACTCGCAGAGGACTGCTTGGGAACAGTAACATGGCCGCCGTTTCATTATTTTGGAACACCAATATGGTCGCCGTGAAGTCATGTGAAAACGCTCTAAAGCGGGAGATCTGTATTGGCATTTACATTGGCGAGCCGAAGACGAGCCATTACTACTCCAGCGTAATAGTGAAATGAGTCAATCAATAGAGAAATGAATAAGAAAATCCTGCTCGTTTATCTAACTGCACTCAAAGTACCCCCAAGCATCACATAGGTACATTTTCTACTGATTGATTATTTGATTCATTTTGCCACATCACAGACAAGTTGAACGTTAACATGATAACAATAAAGTTGATGTCCAAACCTGAACCAGCTTCCATAGTCTTGCCGACTCTGCAACGGGTTCCAGGGCAGCTGTGTTGGATGGTCCAAGCAAAATGACAGGTTTGTTTTCCTTGTTCAGCAGGGTAAACAATGCTCTTATGGCAGTTGCACCACTAGCCTTAAAAAACAACAGAAGGAAATATATTAACACACGAAGTTGGGACAAACTTCTGTCACATGTGGAGAATCTAATGGGTTATGATTATTAGCCATTCCCATCGAATTCACCTTGAAAGTTATCTACTATAAAAAGAACGGCTAACAACAGGAGCCCTTGTCCTCCCAACATCAGAATTTTTCATTTTAAAAAAGAAAATGAGAGATATTTTCGTAGTGTCAACATTCCAGCTTCCTGCTGTAAAATTAGTTTTAAGAGAAAGAAAGATGTTAAAGCAGATGTAAGCACTTATAAAACAAAGCCGGAACAAAACATAACAGGAAAGCAAATTGTCAGTTCTGTGTTGTCTGTTTGTCGGTTCGTTAAAAAATATGTAGGGTGTGTTTTTTAGCTGTCTTCCTAGCATTACTTTGTGCAGTGAATTTCAGAATGTTAAAAAATGTTTAAGTTGATTGTAAAACAGATCGTTTTTCAATAGGAAACGTCTAAAACATGCAAAAAGACGCGTCTAATACCTTATGATTCGAAAATTATTTGTCTTACCAGTATTTCTTATGAGCATACGAAATAAGCATATATATGCAAATGTCATACAAATGATTTAAATTCACATTCCATATGGAGCCTTTCAATATGACGTCACGTCCGACATGTTAGGCCTAGGATAAACGTCGAACTTTTCATGAGACGAACCAAACTCTAATTTGGGTGGACCTAAATTAAGTTAAGATCGTCTGTTGCGTCAGACTTCGAACTTAGAACGCGTCGTACCAATCAACTGAATCAGACCAGAAACATGCTTCTGATCAGACCAAAAAGCAATTTTTAATAAATTTTCTCCCGAACGAGGCTAAATATACATTATCATACAAATGTTTAATTTATTAGTTTAGTTCGTCACATGTGAAGATCGACATTTGTCCCAGAGACAGACGTTCTATCCGTCTGAAGCAGACGGATAAAACGTGTTAGACGATCCAAACTTAACTGATCCAGACATGAACTTAATCATTAGCCGGTGGTTTTTTGTACACCAGCTTTATTCATCAAGAGAATCAATAGAAAATTGAAAAGAAATCGCAGATGCTATTTAAAATATCAAAATTAGAGAGCTATGATCTCTTGATCGAAGGTGAGACAGTGTTTTTGTTGCATTTCAGTCAGCAAGAAGAGAGTTGAAAATGCGACTTGAAGCGGAGTACTTAAGACCTTCGAGGTGTAATATTTTACACAATGAAAACTGGTACTTGATATAGTTTTTATACCAACGTCGTGGAGAGAAAAAGACCTCTTTAACTTTTGTTTCATTCTCCCAATAAAGGTCTCAGGGGAATTTTCTCCTTGGTCTTTTAATATGCACGTAAATAAGATAAAATTGGAAAGAAACATTTGGTTACAGTTCTCTGGAGTATTATCACATGACGGGAAACAAAAGATAAGGGAGCAAAATAGGAGATTTTCATCAGGTATCCAAACGCGTGACGTTGTCCTTGGTTGATGGATGAAAATGATTTAGAATAATGCCTTTATTACCATGCTGAAAAATACATTATACTAGTCTTTTATCCTATCATGTCCATTGTTGGTTTAAGGACATTTAACTGTGACTGGAAACGTCAAAAATCAGGAGCTACAAAAATCCGTTTTCCTTTGAACAATTCAAAACAACTTCAGTCTGCTAAAGCTGGTTCACAGCTGACGTTAAGGCAGCCATGTTGGCCCTTTTAATCTCGAGTGCTTACCATTTGTACGGAAACTTTGGTTAAAATCTTAAGTCAAATGGTATTGGTATTTTTTTCGCACCGAAAACAGCAATTGGATTGAGTTTTATCATTTAAAAAATATCAAATACCGGCAAATTTTTCGTTTTCTCTTGAGCGGAATCCTGGTGCCGATAATCCAATCAAATGGTACAGAAAACTTCGATCGTTCCGCTAAAAGCGGGAAAAAGGTAATACCTCGGAAGGTATCACCTTTTTTCCACAGGGATGCGAGCCGTTCCATGTGAAGTCTCCCCAGAATTACCTGATTTTCCGTACAAATGGTAAGCGCTCTTCTTGTTCTTCCCCACAAAAAGGCTTGAGAAGTAGTTGTTAATTCCGTTCTACAAGACCGACCTATCAAAATTATCCTCAGTGAAGTGATTCAAATCAGTAAAGTACCATGCACTTACCCAAATTGTATCTTCAGAGTCCAACACCAGGGTGTAATTACCTAAAATATCACTTCGATTGTTTATTATATCAATGGCCATTTTCATCGCTGTAAAATGTCCGTATCTGTCATCTTTCAAGAATGGAACAAATGCTCCAATGTGAATTTGTCTTTTTTCCCGCACAGCAAAAGTAGAACTATAATTTTGTCGACAAGAATACATCTCAGTGACATTAAAACATGTTCTTTCTGTGTCATTTTGAGAACAGTTGTTGAATTTCCACGCAACATGTACGCTATTTCCTTTTATAGTGTTATTCCAGCAGCGGAAGCCAGTTGAGTTGACAGTCTTTTCACAACAGAACTGTGTATTCGTTCCAATTTGTAAACTACAAAATATGGTTTGAACTAAAATTGCAAAACATGTTAAACCAGAAGAGACCCTTGTTGACTTCTTGAACTTCATCTCTGAGGAATAAAAAACAACAAACAAGTTTAATGTACGTAGGAAATAATCTGGCATTTCAAACGACAGACTATTTCAAATGCAACCTTTAAAATCAAAACTGACAACACTTCTGTACTTTATTACACAGAGCATAACGACCTTTTCATGTTGTTAGGATCCAATGTAGGAAACCTTTTCTATTGGCTCAACTCTATTGAGATGATTTTGAGAACTTGCATTTAATTTGTTTATCTCCGCTTTAAAGCAAAAATAAAGGAAATCTTATTTCACAGTTAAAAGCTCTTTCCCCCTTAAAATACAAAATATATAAGTATTGCTTTTGTTTCTGTTTTATCATGCGACTATGATGAAATTTGACTTTGTCAGATTTAGCTCTTCTGTTGTGGTCCATAAAAAAGTAGCTAACCTTTCCATTAAGATTAACGAAGACAAGGCGTTGTGTCATTTATTGCTTTTTGAACCGATACTTAAGCTCGCAGCGAACTGGGCGCATTTACCTACTTTGCCGCACTCTGTAAAGGCTTAACTTCTTTTTTGTTGGAAAATTAAAACTGTTTTTAATTTTGATTTTAAATTTCAAATTAATATCCGTTCGGAATATCTATATGGTTGCAAACGATCGCCATCATGGTTACACAGTAAAAGACTTCAGGGTTTAATGAGATTTAGTTTTCAAAAAAAATAAAAAGCTATAATGTTGATTCAATTTCCAGAGGTTTAATCCAAACAGAGAACATAAAAGTTTCTAAAAGGAACAGATCTCCATCGGTTGGAAATAAATTAATTTCAAAGGTAATGGTAATTTATGACTTCCGTGTGTGTACGTGATTTAGTAGTTTGTGATAAGTAGGTTTGTATCTTGCAAGGTTAACGTCTTGGGCCAAACGCATGAAGACACCGGATGGTTACCTTACGGGTTCACAAAGACAATCTGGTTTTAACGACGTCTTGATCAACGCCGCAGCTTTGATATTTATTTTACCACCTACTCAATGGGATTTTTTGAAATGTTTTTCGCAGCTTTAATGGACTATAATTGACAGGAGTGTTCTCAAAATATGCCCGCGTCAAGCTTTTGACAACGAAAAACAAAGGGTACGCTGGATGATTAAAATTTGTCGGTTAGAACTCCTAGTCATTTTTTTCCTTTATAACACGAGACATGAAAGTTTGTACTCCAGACATTTAGACTGATCAGATCCTGTGCTCGATACTAACAGAGCTAATACGCAGATGATTGGCAGGCCTTCAAATCTATCCTCAAGAACTCCGAGTCATATCAGTAAAGACGTCATTTTCATGGATCCCTTTGGAAAACAATCAACAGTTGTATTCCATCAAAAAACAGGAATTTGAGTGTACAGACCCTGACCTGGTGAATGACGAAATTAACCAGTTTTCTCTTTTGCAGGAAGAACTGCCCTGAAGGCGCTCCACATTTCGACACATATCAGCGACAGCAACCCTAGCCATACAAGGTGGAAGTTCACCCGTGTAGACAATCAATTTTACTCCAGTTAGCTGCACGTGATATCATCTGATAATGCGTTCTCCGGTTCATGACAAATTCAGTATATTTGTCAGTAAGCTATTTGCGAGGTCTTATGGTCTATATTCAGCAGCACTTGTTCACAATTCGTACTTGTTTTAAAATCATTAGTATTGTTACTCCAGACGTAGTTAATAGATAAAAATCGATATTGGAAATCAATCGATATCATCGATATTAATGGCTTTAATCCGCCGATTTTTATCGATTGATTTCGGAAATCGATAGAAATCCAGGTTGCAGAATAAATGATTTATCGATTATTATTGATTAACAAAATCGATAACAATCGATAGTAATCAATAACAATCGATAAAAAGCATCATCGATTTCTATCATTCTTCCGCATCGAAGAGTACTCCTAATTTCCTTTCTATGCAATGTTTATTCAATGAAATCTCATTTACGCTTAGTGAGAATTCCAAGACAAGCAGAAAGCGTATATCACTCTCTCTTTACACGAACGTCCCCGTTGCACTGACCGTTTATATGCCTGATTGGAATGTCTGGGAAGTGTGACAATTAACTTCGCTTACGTGGCTGGTTGGACTTACGTAAAACTTTACATAAGCGTTGTAATGCGACAACCAAAAATTCTTCTAAGGAGAGATACCAGATGTTCTTATCCATGGCGCTGCTATGAAAATATAAAATATCAGCAAATCCACAGCAACAAACCGTGCAGGAAATTTTTTAACCGTAAACTGATCTTTACGACAAGGGGATGAATAAGAAAACAAAAGAATGAAACAACAAATCTATATTTAAAAAAACTTGCCCAATATTTTGGTTTGAAAGACAAACCTTCTTCAGTGGCTAAAAGAAAAAAAAAGATAAAACTAAAAGTTCTTAACAAATAAGAATTTGAAAATAGCTCCTGAAGAAGGATTGTCTTTCAAACCGAAAATAATAATTTGTTGTTTTATTCTTTTGTTTACTTCTTCATCGCCTTCTCGTAAGGATCACTTTGCGGTTAAAAAATGTTCTGCAAGGGAAGTCGCTGTGGAAAATATATTTTTATACGTTTTTTCCCCGATGTTTGTGAGAAGTGAAACTAAAGCGAGCCATTTCAATGATTCATTTAACTACAATTTTTTGCATGGGAATAACGTAATATATGCTTAATTTTGAAAAAAGGGCATTCGTTTAGGCTGATTATGTACTGGGTAATTTCGGCATATAATGCAGATACAGATTTGGCTAAAACATTTAAACTGTATCTGACTTAACAAGCATTTATGAAAGATAAGTTGCTAAGAATATTGTTCTGATCACATGACCTTTGCGTGTTATCAAAAAATATCTACCTTGTGTCACGTGGCTGCCGTATCTGCAGGTAGAGTAAGTAAAATACAATTTTTAAACTTTTAAAAGCGAACCACCTTACCGTTCTACCGAGTTTTCTATTCATATGAGATCACAGTTTGTAACAGGCCTTCAAGACATTCCGTCTTTGCGCAAGTACATTACATTTCGTGCTCTACCTGACTTTATTTTGTGTCGCCGATATTTTTCCGTCAGTGGATTTGAACAATGTTATTGACGTATTTGTTTTCAGTTTTTCCATTACATATCTTTTTTCTTCAAATAAACAACATATCCTTTTCAAGTCTCAGCCCTGAGGCTTTCCATTTAGTTGAGAAAACCAGGAAAACGTGTCGCGTTTTTCTAATGGCGTAATACCCAAAGAACAAATATCAGAATCTCATCATTTTCTCGAAACAATGGTCTCAGCAGTATGTTATCGAAAAAACATAGTAACAAATTTGATTTTATTCAGATTTTGAAGCTTTTAAGTTTAAGTTTTTAAATCCTCTCATCTTGCTAGCGAGAAGTGTCTCGAGAATTTTGACAGGAAATTGTTCTTAGTCCTTCCTGAAAATTTACTTAAGCTTAAAAGGCGTATTCATTATGACATTACTAAAAAAAGAAAAACATCTAAAAGATCTTCTTTGCTCAAATTCCAGAGATGCATGACTATTCAAGTAGAAGTGTTTTTACTTTTTCTTTGGAAACTTATTACTAAGAACAGCTTCATTGTTTCTTGAAATCGGGTGAAAAATAGCGGATTTGCTTGTAACATGTAATTTCACACATTTAGACGCATGCGAATAGTTTTTTAAGCTTCTATGATTTATATATGTCATACAAGTACTTCCGTTGCATTGCATTTCTATGATCTTCATGCTAGTGAAATCAACAGTTTTGTTTGATCGATGCCAACACTTTTGTCTTTGAAGTTAAAGTTTTGCCGACAAGGCTTTCTTACTAAGCCTCAAGCTCTTAGAAGACGTGACTGAGGTAAATGTCTGGACATGATCGAAACTGTGGACGTGTCAGTAAAATGGCTGCAATAGTCAGTGGATGTGAAATTCAATACTTTATGTGCGTAGTCCACATATTCTAAAATTAATGAAAAAACCCAGTTTTTTAGCTGTCTTTGAAAAAAAAAAAAAAATAAAAGACAAGAAAAAACAAACAAACAAACAAACAAACCGAACTACTAGAATCTTAAAGCCGAGAGAAATGATGCACTCTGAAGTGGTTGTCAAAGAGAAGTCTGCAAACACTAACATCGATTGTATTGAGTTACCAGTTTGTAAATCTCAGCAGTTTGTTTTTATTGTAGTTGTTATTTTTAGGTATTAGAAAAATAGTATCGTCTTCACCTTATCTCGTTTGCTCACGTAGAATACCTATATAACAACATTAAACTTTAAGATACATCCAGGTTTCGTTTTTCTTTTGAAATGGCCGTTTTCTTAACATATATCATATTCACATATAACACTTACTTCAATCATAGCTTTTTGAATCGAGTCAGAAAGGTTAAACTAATACTATCACAACATCTCAAGTAAATAGCTCCTTGTAACAGCCAATCTCTGCCGTCTTTGTTTAGTGAGGAGCAATTTTTACTTTAAAACTTTTGTAGCAAAGGAGCAAATTTATCAAGTTGTTATATTTAGTCTCTAATAATTTAAAGGTTTATTTATCAAGACTATAACAATTAGAACAAATGCTGTTTTAAACAGAATTTAATAAAGGTTACATACGACAAAGAAATAAAAACAAAAGTGCTTCATGTTTGGACTTTTCTATTGTCCATTTTTTTAACTACTTAAAGAGACATTTTTTTAATGTGCTTTTGCACACTGAACCACATTTATCAAGCAACGACAGTCCTTCAAAACTTTCAATGTATTTTGCAACTTGGAAATAAGGGTTACACAGTACGACAAAGAAATAAAAAGAAAAGTGCTTCATATTTGGACTTTTCTATTTTCCGTTATTTTAAACTCACTTAAAGAGAGATTTTTTTTAATGTGCTTTTGCAAACTGAGCCACATTTATCAAGCAACGACAGTACTTCAAAACTTTCAATGTATTTTAGAACTTGGAAATGAGAGTAAAACAATTGACCCAGAACCAAAATAGTACAGGCCAAGGAAAACATTGACATATTTGGGTGTAAAAAATTGCGGTTGTTCGTCTTGCCTACCTA